AATGTGAGAGTGAGTAAATAATGACAGATTTGTTTTGTCTGTGTGTGTGTGTGTGTGTGTGTGTGTGTGTGTGTGTGTGTGTGTGTGTGTGTGTGTGTGTGTGTGTGTGTGTGTGTGTGTGTGTGTGTGTGTGTGTGTGTGTGTGTGTGTGAACTATCCTTTTATAGAGGGGGAAAAAAAGTCTTATTTTGTCCACAACTGTGACTCGTCACCATATGCAGTCATAAATTAAAGTTATTTAATGCAAACAGGGCTATTATACGATGTATAGCATTCATTGCGCTTCATGAATCTCAGGCTCTTTTAGTAGATTCACTATTAGTCCATATTTGTGGCAGCTGCGCTCATAGCACTTTGGCCCTGTTTAAATCTGTTTGGTGTGTTTGTGGTTTTGGATGCTGGTTGGTCTTGTGAAACTGAAAAACATGTTAGCTAAATGAGAGCGCTCTACATCTTCAATGAACCCATTGTGGGAGAAGAGCAGAGGAGTCGTGGTTCTTGTCCAGAGGCATTGAATAGCCCTGTTTATGACTCTGTGTGTGTGAGAGAGAAAAAAAGAGAAATTTAAAGTAATGCGTGTGACTTTTGGCTTCATTTTATTTGTCCCTCGTCTGAAAGAGCACAAAACGCCTCACGATGTGGTTCAGGAAGTCTGGACATTTGGTTGTGCGCCCTTCCTGTTGTATTTTAAAGAATTTGACTCGATCATTTGCAGCAGCTTGTCTCGTCTTGCTTTGTAAGAGCTGAGCTACATTCATTTTTTTGAGTGAAACCTAGATTATACCATGTCAGACTATAATTTACACTCTTAGAAAAAAAGGTTCTATACAGAACCCTTGCATTCTTTTAGTTTTGAAGAAACTTTATGCCAAACAGGATCTATTTAAGGAGAAATGTCTTAAATGATTGCATAATACTTGAATGTTTAACATGTTATTTCAGATTTTAAAGTGTGAGCTGTTTCATAATTAAAAATGTAGTAAAACTAAATCCATATAATGATCCCATGATGGAATCCCTAAAAGTTTTTTTTTATATATGAAGCTCCTGATAGAACCCTTCAAGGTTCTATAGAATCTTTTCTTCAAAAGGGCTTTTCACACTGCGCTTAACCCCGGGTTATCGTCGTTCTAAACACCACTTTTAACCCCGGATAAAGGAACGTTTCATACTTGTAATTTAGAAGCGGGGTTAGCACTGCTTTTGCGGTGCCAAACTTGGATAGTGTGAAACGATGCGGTGTTAGAATGTTAAAGCTAAACGCTTAGCAACAGACAACCAATAGTGTACATATTTGCATGCTTTGTACAGTCACGGAAACACTGCACATTGTATATAAACGGTAAATTCAGCGTTTGAGAGGAAAAATGTCAACTGCTAACAGAAAACGCGACAATTTGAGTGAAGAGGAGACCGTTTCATTTTTACATTTATAGTCTGAAGTATCCATTCTGTATAAACTCAATAGTACAGTCGGCAATTAGGATGCGCAATGCTAAAGCTTTTATGTAAACAGGTCACATGCTGCCTTCGTCCAATCAATGACACTGACCCTGCAAATATGCAAATAAGAACGTTAACCCAGGGTTTAGGAATGTAAAATGTGAAACGTAGCCTTATGAATACCCAGGATTAATTGTTAACCCCCGAGTAAATTATGAGCACAGTGAAACATGAAGATAACCCAGGATTCAGTTTACCCCGGGGGTTAGAATGACCCAGGGTTAACTATTTCAAGTGTGAAAAGCCCTTAAGACTGTAATTATTCCAAAGGAATGTTATTGATTTGGAATCTCACAGAAAATCATGAGATTTGTCCCTCAGTTTGTACAAATAAATCATGATAAAAGTTAAAGTCTACTGTTAAAGTCTATGGGGAAAGGCATTGCACCAGAATTAAAATAACACATTACACATTCGTTTTATGTTCATATAAGACTAGTATGATAAAACTTACTAGTTGCTTGCTTGCAAAAAGTGTAACAGAATAGAATGTGATGTAACTATCCATAAAGTACTTAGAAATTCACACACATGAACTGATAATGCAATTTATTTAGACAATTTTAGACAATTTTACTCAAATAACAGTCTATTGTGTGGAATCATATTGTATGAGCTTTTCATTTCTACCTTTAAAGTCACCATGAAATCAATTTTTTTTAATGGAATATTGCAGTGTTTATTATAAATGATTTATCCGTGCACTTCATTATAATTTTTTTTTTTTTTCAAATTCATGTGCCCTCATAATCTTTAATCAAAATAACTTCCCCTGCCTCTTACAGCGACATTTCTCCTCTTCTCTGGTGGCGTGTTTCCCGGCACGAGGGCAGGACAGCCTGTCACTCACATGAGATCGACCAATAGCAAACCACAACCATCCAATCAATTCCCCATGACCAAAATCTGTTTAACTTGGATACATGTCACAATAGGATGTAAAAGACCATCGTGACTTAAAACCTCTGGAATGTCTTTCCCCTATTGCAAGTGCATTAATGTAAACATAATTTTTGCTCGTTTAAATGCAGACTAAAGGGAAAGTTGAAATTATTATCTGTGGTACTCGACAGAATTAGCCTGGTTAAAACCAGACCATTCTCAGTTGTAACTGAGTTATGGTCTGGCAAAGCGTCATAGACAAATCATTTCCAGAGGGGCGTCACCAACGGACGTCGCGGATAGACCTAAAACCAATCAGAGCGATGAAGGAGATGACGTATGCAGAGCGGCGGAGAAACATCTCCGAGTGTTGTTCTTTGCTCGGTTTTAACAAAAAGGAAACGTTCAAATCGCTTAAAACAGACGCGATAGCTGATTCGAACGAGTGATGTTCGACGGCGGCATCCATCTTTGTAATGTAGGCTACAAAATCTCATTTCAAAATCCTAGCGCTGTCGTCATCGTGTAAAGCCCGCCCCAACGTTTCTGATTGGTGCCTCGATTTCGGCGGATTGGAAATGGGCTTGAATGAGCTCTTTGCCAGACTAACTTTCAGAGCAAATCTAAATTTGCCTAAAGTTGTCTGGGTTTTCCCAGGCTACGACAGAATGCTACAGATGCTGCCAATGAGATTTGAATTGTATTGATGCCACAACATTTGAATAGCACATTTGAATAAACTTGTTGTTTTGGTCTAGACAGTAGTTGCTGGCTCAACTGTATTTCACTACTGTAGTTCAGTTCTGTGTATAATCGGTCAATTAAGGGTTATCACTGAAGAGGAATGCTTCAGGCTTGAAAAATCTTGCGACAGAAATAGATTAGTCAATAATTCCAGGTGATCAAAGCATAAGGAAACGGGTGTGTAGGGGTGAGGCCAGTGTGTGGACTGGAAATCGGGACTGTGAGAGTGTTTATCACTTTGATGCAGTTTATCAGCCATACACGACACCAATGTGAAAGGCTTCTCTTGACATGTACGATTAAAACATGTCTGTATATTAAATTTAATTTAATGATGGCAAAGTAAATGTAGAAAAATTGCTGAACACATTATTTACACAATATTGATTATTTGAAAAAAGACACGGTTAACAAGGCTGTTTGTGGATGAATTTGGACTAGTAAAATGTTGTTGGAATGAGCAATTTATCATCCTGGTGGTGGATATACTTGCTAAAAGATTATTTTGTCAACTTGGCATATAGATAATTTGGGATCAGACGTCACAGTTACTTCACTGCAGTTGTGAGTGCATTGTGGTGGCAGAAAAACAGTGGTAACAAGTGGAGGAAAACGGGCAAGATTCACGGATTAAGAGAAAAAATATCGTCTTGAGCTTTTGGATGTCATAATCGAGATGCAAAAAAGAATATCTTCATTTTTACAGAATACTGTGATCGAAGATGGCCAGTTTGAAGCAAAGCGCAGACGTTTATGGTTGCAAGCCATTAAATGTAAAGAATGAACTGAAGAAATCTTGTGACGATTACCCTACCATTAAAGCATGAATTTGAAGTAAACAATAGATCTACATAACATTACAGCATAAATGATATTTAAACCTATAACAATTTTCATAGATAACAACATTTAAACGATAACATTTTTATCTAACAATTGTGTATTTGTTGACAGCCACTGAATAAAAGTACAAAAAAATGTCATTTTGAGTTTATATCACAATTCTGAGGAAAAAATATCGAGTTTAAATCTTGCAATTCAAATTTTTCCACAGAATTGTGAGATTTAAGCTCAAAATTACCTTTTTTATACTTTTATTAAGTGCCTTTCATAGACTGCTGCTGCAGAACTGTCACTTTCTGCCATAAGATAGTCTCCGCCAAAAAAACATGTCTTCATGTTTACCTGTTACACCCAAATGGTCTATAGATGACCTCAAAGCTATTAGACATGACTCCAAACTGAAACCATTGAGTAAAAATGTTGATTTGAGGCTTTAATGTGTCTGCTTTTATGATGTGTAGTAAGTGGAGGAACCTGTAGAGTTGCATGCAAATGTTTTTGTTTGTTTTCATGTGGCCTATTGTAACAGAGAACAGAGATATATCCCTGCTTAAATACTACAAACACATTCTATTTATTCGGTATGTTGAGGCCTAGAGGGATGAACACTTAAGCAGGCACTAAAGACTCTTAATGACTCTCATGCAGCTTCTATTACATTCCAGGATTTAAGACATTAAGAAGCTGTATTCTGTTTTTTGTGTGTGATTTAGAAGCTATTTTTTAGGTTATAATAAGTTTATATATATCCTACACCTCATACACTTATTCAATTTTGCATGAAGAAAATGTATCCTTTTAGGTCCATTAAGATTCTTTGCATCTCATTACTTTAATGCAAATAAATAATGATATTTTATTCAAATCGTGACGTATTTAAGTAATTATACGAAATGGTAGTATATGTTGCACTGCCTTTATTATATTTTTTTATTTAATAATTACAAAAAAAAAAATTGGGGGTGACATTTGTCCCAGATGTGTTCTTTGTGAGATCTTTATATTTATGCTTTGTTGTTTTCATCTAGATGATGTGTCGGCAGAAAGCAGCACAGGGTGTCCAGACAGGCTGTCTTTAATGGAGGTGCGCCTCCAAGCACAGGAAGATGAAATAACGCTACTGAAGTCCTCATTGGCCGACGCCTTACGCAAACTCCGCCTCCATGATCAACAGATACCCCTGCTTAAGCAGCAGCTGATTGCTGGTAAGAGGTTTGTTAATGATTTCAATGTGCTACTGTAAAGATTTGCAACAGGTTGTAAATGTATTGCTACAGATTTTATTTTTTTCTAAATTAAAGTTGTATAGAGACTCATTGCATGTGTGTGTGTGTGTGTGTGTGTGTGTGCGCGTGTGTGCAACATCAGTGAACCCTGCTGCAGCCCGAGTGTTAAATCATTCCTGTTACGTGGATGGGATCTCCAAACCTTGCAGACTGTCTACCAGCTCTCTTGATGGATGTCACCTGACATCCAACAGGTAAAGATGACTCTGGGTAGTGTTATTTACTTTAATAATTAGCTTAAAAGGTAACACAGCAACATTATATGTGGAGTTATAGTACAAGGCTGATTAACAGAAAACAGTTAACTCACAGTCACACAGTTATTTGTTAAAATAAAGTAAACTGTCATCTTCAAATGTAATGCAGTAACATCTTGCTGAAGTTGCAGATATGCTTGACGTTACTGAGAAGAGAAAAGCTCTGTGAAAAACAGTCTGGCTGCCCACATCTGTTTAATACAAAGAAGCAGAGCAACATTCCTTGGCAAACTTCACATTTGGGACATTGTGGGCACTGGGCTGCATCCAGAGAAAACTGAAAAAACTGTGTTGTTTGTGTTTATTATAATTTTTGTTACTTCAGTGAGGTATTACAGGTCCTCTTTTAAGTTTACCACAGGCCTCCGTTATTGTATTGTGATTCGTTTGAACTGTGCCTGAAAGGTTGTAGGCGTAAACCCTACTTGGACTGAACCTTGAGCTATTGCCATGGTGCCATTGAGCAAGGAACTCCGGTTCCAGTACCACTGGCTAGTGACAAGTAGTAATGAAAGGAATAGTTCAGTCATAAATTAAATTTCTATCATCATTTACTCACACTCATGTTGTTCCAAACCGTATGACTTTTCTGCTGAAAACAAACAAATGTATCAAAATAATATCTAAAATGGCCATTTATGTTTAATCGGTAGTAAATGGGGAGGTCTTCAAATAATGTGTTGGACAACAATGTCAACAAATCAGAAGGTTAAAGGGTTAGTTCACCCAAAAATGAAAATTCTGTCAGTAATTACTCACCCTCATGTTGTTCCAACCCCGTAAGACTTTCGTTCATCTTCGGAACACAAATTAAGATATTTTTGATTAAATCTGAGAGCTGGATCACTCCTCCATAGGCTTCTTAAGGGATCGAAACTGACCGGCCCAAAAGTTATGAAAGACATCGTTAAAATAGTCCGAGTGACTACAGTGGCTCAATCTTCAGTTTATCAAGCGACGAGAATACTTTTTGTGCATGGAGGAGTGATCCAGCTCTCAGATTTAATCAAAAATATCTTAATTTGTGTTCCGAAGATGAACGAAAGTCTTACGGGGTTGGAACGACATGAGGGTGAGTAATTACTGACAGAATTTTCATTTTGGGGTGAATTAACCCTTTAAGAACCACTGCCATAAACATTACATTAAAGTAGTCCAATTGAATTTTTAGCAGTTTTTGAAGTCATGTGGTAGCTTTGTGTGACAAACAGGATGAAATTTAAGTTGCTCTTGCTTGTATTGAGTTCAAAAATAGTGCATTAAATGTCTATGCTTCTCTCTGATTGGTTCATTGGTTCTCTGAATGAGAATAAAGACTATAAGACTATTCTGGGCTGTTGGAGACATAGAGGGCATGAGCCCCTGCCCCCTAAAAGTAATTGTTGTATTGCGGTTCCCCCCGGAACGTGATTTTACCCCAATGTGTTCCATGAAAAGAAAGTCATAGATGTTTGGAACAACATAAGAATGAGTACATTTGTGGGTTGTTGTTCACTTTAACCAACAAGTAGCATTTTTTCCCCCAACAGGCAGCATTTTGAGACAATGTTTATCTCAAACACAATTAAACACTGTTTTGTTTGTGTATCTTTAGCCATATCTCAAACACAGCTGAAAATGGGGAGGGCGGGGATAAAACCATTTCCAACCACAAACCGAGCACTAGCGACATGTGCACACAGACCGAACCGTGGATCCCAAATCACAATGCCGTCCCGCTGGCCCTGACACGGACCAGCCAGAGTCTCTCCTTGGAGGATGCACTACCTGAAGGCATCCCTTTCGCTAATGAAACCCCGACCAAGCTCAGGAGAGAGGAGGAAGATGGCGATGAAGACCAAACCTGGAGGTCCCTAGTAGAAGACGCCATCCAGCCCACCACAATCAGAACCCTCCAGCAACAACTGAGCAAAAGCAGCGAAGACAGTCAGGGTTCATGCCCTCAAACCCCAACGTCCTGCTCGCCGGCACCCCCAAAAGAGCCGACCTCCATCCCACACGCAGGCCCACTCTCCTCCATTCAGGAGGATGAGAAAACACTGTGCGTTGACCCCCAAAAGTGGAGTCAAGCGTTGGCTGGCTGCTTGAATTCACTGCCTCTGGTTTTGGTTTTAATCCTAACACTAATGCTTGCGTTGCTGCACAAACCAAAGTTACAGCTTGTTGAGCCGGTTTTGGCACCCAGATTGGGCTTTATTTACATACAAGCATGAGTGGATAATCATCAGGAGCGTGCAATTTAGGTCAGCTCTGATTTTACTTGAGATGTTAGTGCATCAGTTTTAGGGTACGAGTTTTTGACAAAGTTTCGAGTACAGAAGACAACGTTGTCAAAACAATTCCCGTTCACACGGATCCGGGAAAACGACTAAAAACACTGTATTATTCGCTCCAGGCCTGTAGTTGGCGATGTTACTTTGTAAAGAAACACTATGCACATGCGCACATTTGCATTCTTCTACAGAGCGGTGAATACGATCAAGACGATGAACGCATTGAGCACGCAATGCTCATGACGTCACCGTTTCCACAAATTTGTGTTTTTGTCATTTAGGCAAGGCAAGTTTATTTATTATACTTTATTATTTACACGGAGAGGATAACAGTTTCATTTTCAAAAACGAATAAATTAATAGATTACGCACCTGATCTCATTTTTAGATGTTTCAATACAGATACACTGAAATCAATAGAAAAAATAAGTTGTAAAAAAATATATGAATATACTCAAAATAGTATATACTGTATAATATATATTCAGGAGAACTATTATATTATATGTATTAAAGTACATATAGAAACATGGTTCCTGTTTATTTAAACTGAAATAACATTGCAAAAGATATTTTTAAAAAGCATAACTTTTTTTATTTATGTTTATGGATTTGATCTACAGTTTGAGCTACAGTAATGTTATCGGTACTGTAGTAATACCAGAGACACAGACATTTGTATCCCTGAGGGCACTTCAGGATGACGAATTTGACTGTATTATTGTACTTCTGGCATTCATTCATCTCTTTTAAAGAACGCAGCTCTGTGCCAACAGAGTTTTACATTTGTTTTTGGGTTTAGTTCATGCTTTGACTTCTTTGGAAATGCTTTGTGATTTGTTGGGGCAGATGTCAGAGTTCTAGAAATTTTAGCTTTGAGTTTTTAATAGGAAAGGGGTGGACCGTTGGCAGAAAGTGTTTGTTCAGTTGCAGTGTTGATTTAACTAGGTAAGGCAAGCTTGTCCGTTAATACGGTTGCGAGAATAGTGCATCATTCCTCAATAAATGCAGCTGTAATATTGTGTAATCGAGACCCGTTGACTCCCCTTTAGGTGAATACGGAAGATATGAGATAATTTCTAAACCGTCAAGCTGTCAGTGTGACAGGAATGTCGAAATGTTTGAATGTCAGAACAGCTCCTGGGAATCTTGGCTGTAACGCGGTTTTGCAGAAACACAAAAGCTCGTGATTGAGCCATGCTGGGGCATTAAAATCAAACTAACCCTTTGAATAATCTCACTTAATCTTATAAATAAAGCAAATCTCTTGATTCATTGACTGATTTATCTGCATGCATGCTTTGGGTGGTCTTTCGGTGTGTGTGTAAATGTCTGTGTAACTTCTGTATTTCTTGGTTCCCACAAATGGAATGTTATAATTCTTGTGGGTGGATTTCGTTCCATGTAAACAGCGCTTTACTGATAGTTATGTGCCGTCCCTTCTGGGTATCCTTGCATGGATATCAAGCAAAAGGGTTATCGAGTCCACGCTACGTGGTGCTAGAGTGTTACGGCAGATTGTTTCGCAACAGAGCACCAGACAAAAACAATAAACAATGCATGCTTCGTTAAAGATTCATGCTTTGTTTAGTTTCAGCATGAGGGAACAGTTAAAAATGTCTAAACGTGACCAATCAGTGTATGTAAATATGCTGTAAGAATGTTAAAGTGGTTTACGAATGCTCAAATCTTAGAGCCTGGATACCCAGAATTAAATACTACATACATTATGAGCTGAACAGTGAACAAGATAATGCAAGATTATGTTGACAGAAGGTTGAAAATCCTGCCCCTAAGATTCTTGGAGACCATTTCAGATGGTGGTCTGCAACTTGTCACTCTTCTGCTGGATTAGCACTAAATGAAAACAATTGTGTGTTTTTAAAAACATTTTGTGCAGACAAACTCTGAAACTAATGCTGTACCATGGACCACACTGGCACTGTTTGAAAGTTCAATGCATGACGAGTTCCATGCATTGATTAAATAGACACTGACCATATGTTACAATTAAAATTAAGTTAGGAAACTGAATCTACCCTGTTTAAAGTCTTTATATTATTATTGTTCAACAAAATATACAACATGCACATACACATATACAACACACACATTTTATTTTATACTTTCTGTATAAATATTATATACACACATATATATATATATATATATATATATATATATATATATATATATATATATATATATATATGGACCTTTTTTTTTTAAATAAGTCTCTTATGCTCACCAGGGCTGTATTTGTTGGATCAAAAATATGAATCATATTAATATAATGTAATCATGTAATCAGTCAATTGTTAAATATTATTATAATTAAAAATAAATCTATTTTAATAGATTTTAAAATGTCACATGATTCTTCAGAAATCATTCTAATAAGCTGATTTGAAACATTTCTTTCATGTCAAAAACACCTGTGCTGTTTAATATGTTTGTTGAAACTGATACTTTTTATCAGAATTCTTTGAATAGAAAGTTCAAAAGAACAGCATTTATTTGAAATATAAATCTTTTTGTAGCTTTATAAATGTCTTTACTGGCAATTCTGAGCAATTTAATGTATCCTTAGTGAATAAAAAAAGTATTAATTTCTATAAAAAAAAATGAATGGTAGAGTAGATATGATGGAAAATGAGACGTATATGATAATAAAGTAACATTTATTTTATAAATGTTATAAGACATTTGTGCATTATCTCTAAGTTAGCAGCCTGGCTGATATAATGTTTTATCGCTAATTTCGACTACCATAAACAGTGTGTTGAAAGTAAGGCTTCAGCATTATTTTTAAGAGTGGACAGTCCCCTTTATCAGCTGCGTTTCACTTCTCTGTCTGTCACCGCAAGTATCATCATTGATCACATGACCACAGTTATTTCCTGTTTCATGTAGCTTTTATTGGATGCCTCTAAGGGTATTCAGAAGAACAGGAAATAGGGCGTGCTAGAGGAAACAATCCCTCAGTGAGCACAGACTCATACTCCCTCACACAATAAGTATATGGGGAAAAATTCCCTGTGACTCAAACGTGGCATTAACTCTGATTTCCGATTTATTTGCATGGTTTTCTTGTGTGTGTGTCTGCATGATTGATTGATTCTGGGTGATTGTGGGTAGTGGGGTTAATATTAGGTGCATTTGCATGCTGTCCAAACTTGATGGGAAACTCAAATCACACTAAGCACGCTCTGTGATGTTCATGTTAGCATGCTCGTATCTGCATTGATTAATGGTGAATGTGATTTCATGCCTCATGGAGTAACTGACTAATATCTCTTCTTGAAAAGCAGGGTCAGGAGGAACAGTGAGAGAAGTAAGGACCCCCAGGACAAGCCCAAACTGCGGCTTTCTAAGAAAGCGGCCTCCTCGACAAACTTACTCACACGGTCTCCAAGTCTGGAGAGGTGAGAACCGCTTTTTTTTTTTTTTTCAGTTTAAGCATTCTCTGAACTTATCACTTATCATAAGGGAATATTTCAGAGTAAATAAGTTGAGCTCTATCAGCACAATCTATGATGCTGTCGATTACCACAGAAAATCGTTATGACTCATCCCTCAGTTTATAGAAACAACAGAAAGATTGTTGTGGTAATGCAAATACAATATCTTTGGAGCAAGTCTATCAGAGGTTTGTAAAAGAAAAACAGTGATGCTCTTATTGTTCAAGCATTTACAATGATTCTGTTATTTAAGTTGTAAATTTGTCTAAATCATCCTTTACAGTCGGTGAAGTTTACTCCATGTAGGATTGGTTGTGTTATGTCCGTCGTTGCTTGGATATCATGTAAAACGTTACTGCGTTTTCCAGGTCTTTCATGTTTTATCAGTTGGCCAATTGAAGAAAGGTGTGCAGCCCCTTAGGCAATATGTAAGGCACCTAGTCTCCATTGTGCTTCATTTTTTTAACTTAAAGTTCCCCTATTATGCTATTTTAAAGGTTCCTAAGGTTTCTTACAATAGGGTTACATGCATTCAAAGACAAAAAACGCTTTCATTTTCTCATAATATACATTGCAGCATCATCTCTTTTCTCACAGTGTCTGAAACGGTTCAATCAAGGATTCAGTCTCTCTAAACTCCTCATTTGCACGAGCTTACTCTGATTGGTCAGACTGTTGTGATTGGTCTACTCTGCTCTGATTGGTTAGACGGCTCAGTCTGTTGTGATTGGTCTACCGCTTACAGCGCGAGTCGGAAAAGAAACCCCTATTACCATATCTGAACTTCAGCTCCGGAGGCTTCCTCAGTGTTTGATGCGAACAGTAACAATGGCATCAATTTTACTGTATCCATTCAAGCGCGAGCATGCAAAGTGGATTTCATCTCAACATGTTAACAAAAAACTCTTCCAGGCCTCATCAGCTACAACTACTGTGTTTGAGGGTCAGAGTAGATGTTGTGTTTGTAACTGGAAGTGAGACTGAAAGTACTGATAACTCATTTTAGGCAGTTCAGTATCGATTCTTTCTTTTAGGAGACAATAACTCCAGCACTTTGATCTTTAAAACTTTGCATACCTTTTACATTCACAAACAGCTGTATTACACGCTACATAAAAGATAATATTTGAAAAAGCATAAAAGGGGCACTTTAAGTAGGATGAGTGAAAATGATTTAGTACTAATTGACAGAATGCTACAGATGCTTTTGATCCAGATTACGTTATATTTAATATTTGAATGCATTTCCTGAGAATCTTGTTATCATGAAATTTCTTGTATAATGGGTATGAAATATCTTAATTAGTTTCTATAATAATAATAATAATTTAGTTTCATAACTGAAGTATGTTTTTTTTTGTGATGCAAATAGCTAAAGAAGCTGGCATGCCTTTAAAAAAGAATTACATTTATTGTTATACTGAAGTGATTTCCATGTTTTAATATATTCTCTGTTTTCAGTATGTTAAATGATTAATTCATTGATGTGTTTGTCTCCATAGCCGGGCAAAAGACCTTATCTCTAGCACAGGTAAGGCATCTCTCACTTTATCTCTCCTTCTTTTTCTTCACTATTCTTACCTCAGCAGCCTAGCTGTGTCATAACTCAGATTAGGTCGATGTTTCCCATTTTTACCTAAATTCCCCAGGTGTACAGTACCTCTGAACTGTATACAGAGATTGTCAGTTACTTATTGTCACACTTTTTATGCAGTTTGCAATGCTCCTTTCTATTCCCATGTCTTCCGGTGTGTTTGATTCCTGTAAAAGCTGTCATGTGTTAGGAAAACAAGATCTTTTTAACCTTTCTGAGTGTCTCTCATCATGTAGTCACTGTCTGTTCAGTTTCATCCAATCAGAATTGTCAGGTTACAATTTCTTGAGTAAAATGTTTTTCCCTCAGCCAAAGTTAAGGAAAAATAATATATAAGGAATCAGCAACATCATATATTTTAATCTCTCTCATCAACACCTCACACATACAGCTGTGGATTCAGAACAATTTTTCAGCTCTTCATCTACCATTTTAACCAAGGTGATCTCCGCCAACCCAGGGACCCACTAATACAATAAAGCTTGGTTTTCTCATTAAGCCTATATAATTACTTTCATAAATAATGTTACTGCAATAAGCTGATTGTTACATTATGTACCTTTACCATGTCCTGGTTTTATTGTGCCACTGTATAATATGAGGTTATGTAAGTGTGTTATACACTATACAGAGGCAACCCAATCAAATGATGAAGCAGCAGACCCGCTGAAGATGATATTATTTTTAAAAATGTGGTAATTTTTCTGCTGATTTTTGTACTTATGTTAAAAAACAAAAACTTATATTAATATTATTACTTATAATATACTAATATATTATTACTTATTAATTCATATTATATTACTTATAATATTACTTATATTATATATAGTAATACGTTTATATGTGTTTATATAGACTACCGTTCAAAAGACTTATTGTTCAAAGAAGGCTCACCAAGGCTTTGTTTATTTTATCAAAAAAAAAAAAAGCAGTAAAAACAATAATATTGTGAAATAAGGCATTAGTCATTGCTCCAGTCTTCACAGTAGTGTTTCCATCCAACTATTTTTATGCGCATTTTGGGATATTGGGAAATGAGCGCTCTGAGACGCAAGTCACTTATGATGTGGGAAAAACGATCCACAGTTTCTTCCCCCGATTGCAGCATCTTTCATTTTTATGACAGATATTTTGCGGACATTTCCAAGGAAGTGGCGATTTTGTTCTCGGAACACATAGGATGGAAACTGTGCTTTATTCACATATGTTTAGTGAGATATTCCAGTTTTGCGCACACGTTAAATTCTCAACTTTTTACGGGATTCTTTGATTAATAATAAAAAGTTCAAAAGGACAGCACTTATTTGAAATTAATAATCTTCTGTACCACTACAAATGTCTTTACTGTCACTTTTGGTGAATTGAATGCATTCTCGCTGAATAAAAGTATTAATTTCTTTAAAAAACAAAAAAAAAACAATCTTACTTTTGCATGGTACTGTATCCATCCACAGACCCCCTGCAGTAGCTTCATGGACCCCAGAATACAAATTCTAGATTAGGGAACAGATTCTGTCCAAAATGCAATGTGATGCAGTGAGGTCACTGTGTATATAAACATTTATGAGTAAGTGTTACTGAGCACAGGCGAATGTTAATTACCATAATAAGCCAAAAGTGGTCTCATCATGTCTAGTCTTTATTTATTTGTTTGTTTCTTCATTATGCATGTTTCCTTCAGCAGTGAGACACAGGAGTGCTTGTGCTCACACTGGAAAGTTACTCTCGCCGGTTACGCAACCGCACCACTCGACTTTTCTGACCAGGATGATGGATGTGTGTTTCCTTTTCCCTGCGTGCCAGAAATTCACACCACATTTTCACAGCGCCGCCTTTGGCCTTCTCGTTTTGTTGTGCGTGTGGCGTTTTAATAATTTATTCACCTGCACACTTTACTGAATGGGAAAAGTAAATGGGGGGGTTTATTTGAAACATCGTGACTGCGCTCAACATCAAACATGTGTTGTTTTTCCCCTCTGAGATGAAACTGACACATTTATGGAATGTTGTTTCGGCGTCACCTGGGCGACATCTCCCTGATAACATTGACATAGCGGTCCTGCATGAGCCGTATATCCGAGGAACACGAGATACTCTCACTTTCTCTTGTGTCAAAACAACCCATATTATAAAGATCTTCAGTGGTTAGTGATGTTTTGATGCAAACTTTGCTTATTGGTTTCTGGCTGTTGCTTTTATTGTCATTCCATCGCAGTTGACACGCAGATTGACTTGCTCGCCTCACTGCTTTTAAAAAGCCCTGTTAAAAACAGAATTTTCCCTGTCGATCCAGTCCAAATCCAGGTCCAGACAATGCCGACGATGAGTCAGAGAGGTGTTCTCATTGGAGCTCCCTGTAGAGCTAGTTGGAGTGCAGTTTGGGCTGCAGGAATTCCTAATGTGTTTTGCAGACGCAGAGATAATGTTTGTTTGTGTTTTATCTTTTAACAGGTTCTCAGGGGTCCAGGAGGGGAACTCAGAGTAGGTTTATATAATTGGACTGGATTCTTACTAATTGTTACCTAAAAATATTTGCGTAAAACAAAATCGTATTTAAAAAAAAATAGTTTTGTAGGTTATATGATATGTTGTACTCTACAAACTATACAAACTATAGTGCTCGTTGTCAATTTTTCACATTTTCACGTTGTGCGTTCTTGTGTCTCAAGTCACATTCATTTTGCTTACAGGTCAGTCAATCAAGATGTTTATCCGTGGACGACCAATCACCATGTACATTCCTTCAGACATTCTGAACTACGAGGAGCTGAAAATTGATCTTCCCTCACAGAAACTGGATCTCGACTGGGTGTATCCTAAAACAATTCTTTTGTTATTGTCTTTTAGCATTGATATTTTTATTAATGTATTACATTTGAAAATACATTTTATTAAAAATGTATTTACTGTCATAAAAATTAATTCTGAAGTAATTATAACATCAAATAACTTAAAATATGTAATATGGATTTCAGCACTGGCGTTGTAATACACTTTGGCGGGTTTAGTTTACATACATTTTTCAATTGTAGTTTTTTAAAAAGGCATTTGAAATAATAAACTAAGTGCAATGTAGTGTTGTCAAAAATATAGATTTTTGATACATATCGATACTGAAATATCTGAAACGCTTCCAATTCTCATTTTCCGCAGAATAGATACACGATACCAGCTGCGCTCTCTCTCTCTCTCTCTCTCTCTCTCTCTCTGACAGCAAATTGACACACAAACCCGCCTCTCCTCACTTACTCGTTTCATTTGCTCCGGATGAATATTGTTGGTGTTACAGGGCTTGAGTTTCTGCGTGGGATTGCACATAATTTGACTAATTTCCACAGATTTTGTGCTCGCACCCAAAATGCGCGCACATAAAGCCGCCTCACAATACTAAATTAAAGGGGTCATATAATGGTACATGCACTTTTACAAGTTGATTGTACTGAAATGTGTGTTGGCAGTGCCTGTACACAACCATCATAAAATGATAAAAATCCATCCAGTGTTTTTGTTTTAATCTCCTCATATGTTTTCCCCTGTCTCAAATCGAGCCGTTCGAGCGTGTGACGTCACACGGTCGAACGCCCCTCCCACGATTGTTGAATGACAGCAGCGTTTCAACACAGACCCGCCCTCGCTCGTGAGCCAGCTGTCAATCATAGTCTGCGCGGACCGGCGCGGTCATTGTTGATATGCTGGAGCACTGTCTATGAGCAGAATGGCGTCTAAGCGATTGTGGTGTTCTGTTCTTGGGTGTAATAACGAACACAGCAGTCATTTTAATGTTCCTAAATCCGAACCGCTGAAGACGCAGTGGCTGAGTTTGTTTTCGAAGGGAATATTCCCCACGAGCAACGTCAATGCTCTCATGTTTGCGCGAATCATTTCTCACCAGACTGCTTTATAAACGAGGGTCAGTATAAAGCTGGTTTTGCTAAGAAGCTGCTCATGAAAAAAGGATCGGTACCAGCTATTCGTGTTCCTCCTGAACCTCTAGAACAACTGAAGTGAGTGTAACGTTTTATTAAACTTTATATTAATATTTATATTAATCTTTGCAAATCGCTAGCTGCACGCTTCACAATGAATGCGTCTAAGGTTTACACTTAGGGTACATTACGGCATGTTTTCTATGTATGATGTTCTTTAATATAATTCATAATCCCACATTTATACTGAACAACACGTTATGGTTATTGTGTTACAAACGGTGTACGCACAGAACAGAGGGGCGGGGTGAGCAAAGCTCATTATCATTTAAAGTCATATGCACTGAAACAGCGTGCTGAAAACAGAGCTGTTTTTGACCAAGTAAAATAGGTGTTTTCTTACAATACTAATGAGAATTTGTAATTAAAGTATATTACAAACTTTTAATTTAGACCCTAAAGAATCATACTAGCTTGTACAAAAATGGCATTATATGACCCCTTTAAGTTATTTTTTGCTGTCAAATAATGTCAAAATGCCGGTCTTTGCAAGTATTCACGTAAACAGTCAGTTATGTTTTAAGTGAACGTAAACAGTTGAGAAAAAAAATGCATGTGTAACAGTATAATGGATCCGTGCGTCAGGTCTTAAAGTGACAGCAGCCTAATATACCCGCTGCCAAATTACAAGATAATATTTAAAAAAATCTATATGCCAGTTTGCCCCATGGTATCAATGTCAAAATTGTGGCCAGTGACTTTGGAAATGGCTGGTGAGCAAATTTAATGGCTGGCCCTGCATACATACATATTTTTTTACCTCACATGGCCAAACACAGTGAATTAGACAAATTCATATATTAGACCTTTATATAATACATGGCTACTAGCAAATGTTCCTTGACCTTTTATTTCCAGCTATGGTTACAGGGGACGGGACTGTCGAGCAAACCTTTACCTGTTGCCGTCTGGAGAAGCAGTTTATTTTATTGCGTGCGTGGTGGTCCTGTATCACATCAGCAACCAAACACAAAGACATTATCGCAAGCACACAGACTGTGTCAGATGGTGAGTTAAGAGAGTTGTTTAGATGAGCACCTCATTTTTTTCTCTGATTAATATGTCCTTACTTTTTCTCGTACTTTTTGGCCTGTAGTCTTGCCATCCACCCGGACAAGGTGCGTGTAGCATCTGGACAGACCGCAGGGGTAGACAAAGATGGCAAGGTGAATAAATCACATTCCACCGATTAATGAGATTAGTATGTTGGTTGACATTGATTAAAATCATGAACAAAATGTAAAGAAATGGTGCAAGTCTGTTTTACATTCATAAAAAAGAAGAAAGAAAAAAATTTTCATGCTATGCATCAATTACCTGCTTACGTTTTTTGTGCGCTTATGTGTGTTTGTCAGCATTTTCAGCCCTTTGTGCACATTTGGGACTCCAACACGCTAGTGACACTGCAGCAGATCGGCCTCGGCACATTTGAGCGAGGTGTCGGATCCGTAGCATTTTCCAATTCAGTGAGTATTGCCTCCCATTTTGCATTCTTTCCTGTTGAAACACAGCAGACAGAGAGAATAGAGGGCTGTTCACATGTGCAAAGAATATAAAATATCAAAAAAGAAATGAATAAATAAAATATGTAAAATAATACCATAATCAAGGATCTAGAGTTTTGGTTTATGAAGCCTTTATAGACTAGAAACATTGACTTCTAGCATGTGATAGTCTTTCGGAATAGTAGCATTTTAATCGTAAATGAATAAACATTGATCATACATACATATTTCAATGTTTATTTATTTACTATTAAAATATATTTCAATATATATATATTCCTTTCTCTTTTTTCTTGCTATAGGATGCTGGTACATTCCTTTGTGTGATTGATGATTCCAATGAACACATGCTTTCTGTGTGGGACTGGAATAAAAATATAAAGCACGCTGAAGTCAAGGTTTGTTCACACACACACACACACACTGATGCACACGCACACACACACATGCTCAATAGTTTCTACCATTGTAATATCTACATAAAGCTACATGGATCAAGTTCTCATTTTTAGTAGCCGAACAATATTTTTTTCAAGCACATACTTGAAAATACTTTTTTTTTTTACACACAAAAAAATGTGTGGATAGTTTCTTTCTCTGTGTGACCCTTTGTCCTAAATATTTCTTCCTACTTTTGCACGAGCGGTTTGAGCGGGGTTGCTATGGGAGCGGCTAAATATTTTACAGTAGATTTGTGTGAGTGTTCGCTTGCGCTTTAAAGACTGGCCATTTGTATGAAGTAATTTTTCTTCCTCGTGTTTTATTTTTGGGCTGTGCTGCTAGTAATGGATTTAGGAAGTAGTTGGACTTGGAATAGCACAACGCTTTGTCAAGGGAGTTCTGTTTGCTGACTGAGTTAATCTAGATTTTCATCTCAGTATGAGTTGGTTTATTTTTATAAAGTCATTCGCAATGAGTTCAATATCGTTCAGAATTTCACAAGCATTTCAGAAGTATGTTTGGTGAAATTCTGGAAACAAGATGAAAACCCAAAAAATGGTTGCTGTACAAAATTAAAGAGCCTGAACAGTTTAGAAATCATAAGCAATTACATTATATTCTGCTGAGCTTTGAAGAGGTATTTACAGTTTCTGGATTACACTTTTTAATAATACAGGACAATTACAGTAATTGTCTGTCATTAAACTGACGTGAGCTGAAGATTGACTGGATGTTTATAGTTGAATTGCAGCTTTTCTCCTGTAATAACACAGAGCCACTGGCACAGTCATGTATACTGTGGAAAACTATGTCTTCACGTGCGTGTGTGTGTGTGTGTGTGTTTCAGAGCACTAATGAGGCCGTCTTGGCTGTGGAATTCAGCCCTACAGACACCAACAACATCATCTCCTGCGGCAAGTCCCACGTCTACTTCTGGACCATGAGCGGTTTCACAATGACCAAGAAACAGGGCATCTTTGGAGTGAGTCCATATTTTTGCCACCAAGTTGACTGTCCTCCACTGTAATTTCACAATCATGTGCTTTTCCATGCTCGAAAAGGGAAGAATTCTATAAATTAAAAACTCACAATACCGTGGTACTATGGCAGATCATCATTTTACTTAGCTACTATTTTACAGTAATATCTAGTTTATGATTAGCATTGAGTAGAGAACCGCTTCATAATGCATTCAGCTATGTATTCACTCTTTGTTTGGTATTTGATTTTGTTTATTGTCTGTTTAACAGAAATACAAAAAGCCCAAGTTCATCATGTGCTTCGTGTTCAGTCTTACGGGTGATGTGTTGACGGGAGACTCCGAGGGGAACATTCTCACGTGGGGAAAATCCGCTGCTGATATCAAAACATTAGGAAAAGGAGCAAAGGGTGTGCAAAATGATTCTTCACAATACAGAAGAAATGATCGAACAATGAAGAATGATCTGTTACATTGTACCTTTTCTTAATCGTTAGCAAATCTCTACATAAACATCCATCATTCGCATATTCAGTTATTATGTTTTGATGATTAACTTCATTTGTAGCATTTAAAGCTATTCATTTTATTTATTCCCCCTGGAATTGGGCAACTTTTAAGTTGTTGCCATGGGTTGACGTACAAAATCAGCAAAGAATTCGGCCACTGATGGAGAAAATCATATTGGGTTATTTTTGGGCTAATTTTGATTGGCCAATTGGCTAGTTTTGTTGCTCAGACCTGGCAACCGTGTCGATACAGAAGTATTACTGTGTGTACAATAGATTTTACTTTACATTTAAAACTAGAATTTATGCTTTATGGTAAACAACAGTATGCCACATATGCTTTCAATAGATTTTGAACTAAAATATGGCTTTAATATAGTCTTTTTTCATTATTTGAAACTATTCTACTAGATTCTGTCAATCTCTTCAAATGCACTAATCCACCTGTTCTGCTCTCCCCGCCTGTAGAGACATTGCAGATCATGAAGCAGACTCGTGCTCACGAAGGCAGCGTTTTCACGATGTGCCTCCTGCAGGGTGGAGCTTTACTCAGCGGTGGAGGCAAGGACCGCAAGATCATCCGCTGGAGCGCCGACCTTGCGCCTGAAAGAGAGTGTGAGGTGAAACACGAGTCTGTTTTATCTTTAAAACTGCGTGTTTGTAGCCATACCAATATATGAAAGTGCAGTGTCGTTTAAAAATGATCTTTGTTCTACTAGATTCCCGAGAAATTTGGTGCAGTCCGCACCATTGCAGATGTAGATGGAGAGGAGCTGCTCGTTGGCACGACACGAAACGCAATCCTGAGAGGAACATTTTCAGATGGGTTTGTGGCCATTGTACAGGTAGATGGATTGGATTCATATGCAAATATACATCGTTCAGTTGCCTCTAGTTGTCTTAAGCATTTGTACCGGATTAGCTAGTTTTGATCTTGTAGTCCTAGGTGAATCTAAAAATGGTCAATTCATTCAATTGTTAGGGACATGTGGATGAAACGTGGGGTCTGGCCACGCACCCCTCCCAGAACATCTTTCTTACCTGTGGAAATGATCGTCAAGTGTGTGTGTGGAACGCAGAGGACCACAAACTGGACTGGTGCACACCACTAGAGGTCAGAATGGTCACAGAAAATTTGAACTGTAAATTAAGGCACACGGTATGTTTACAGTACAGCGATGTACTAAAAACCTTTGCGTTTTTCAAAGGTTTGGCGTACAGACGACACTGTTGTCAAACCGATCCCCGTTCACACTGATCCGAGAAAACGCCTAAAAACACTGTATTATTCATGCAACGCCAGTAGTTGGCGATGTCACTTTGTAAAGAAACACTCTGCGCCTATAGACTGATCGCGCATGATGTCACCGGTTTCACAAATTCGTGTTTTTGTAGTTTGCACAGAGACGATAACTGCTTTTAATCGGTGTCGTGTAAATGGCATCTAAGTGTTTTTTGTGTGTCATCAACAACTTTTGGCATGGATGCAAAACAAATTGGTAGAAATGCACAGCTGAAAGTATTTGGTCATTTGATAATATGGGTGTTTTTGAGATAAACAGTATTTGGCTGGTCATGTGATCTCAACACGCTTACACTACCACTCAAAAGTTTGGGGTTGTTAAGACCTTTTAAGAAAGGTTTTACATTTTAAAATAACTGTTTTATATTTTTTTACTGTTCAAACATTTGGGGTTGGTAATATTTGTTTTAATGTTTTTTTTTTTAAGAAGTCCAAGGGTGAAATATTAGAAGTTAAAAAAAATCCAGTTGATGGAAAAGCAGAATTTTCTGAAGCCATTACTTTAGTCTTCAGTGTCGCATGATCCTTCAGAAATCAAACATCTTTTTTCAAGATTCTTTGATTAATCTTTTGTAACAATATAAATGGATTTAGTCAATTTTGATCAATTTAATGTGTTCTTGCTGACACTTACTGACAAGACATGTTTGAACAGTAGTTCAAATACAGTTTTTTGTCTATGCCAGATAACACAGAAACCCCTATGAGTATATACAATTTTAAACATTTTGCCAATGTTATTATTGATTTATTAAGGTGTAAAACTCTTATGTGGGAAACTTGTGCATCTTTAAACACCCACACAATATTAACATAAATGTATTGTAATGTGAAAATGAATTTGCAATTATTCATTCATCTCTCTAGGAATCTGGTCTGTGTGCTGATTTCTGCCCAAATGGAGCTCTTGTCTCTGTTGGACTGAGCACTGGAAGGTAAAACATTTATTTACAGCACAGCCGATAACAATTACAGCTTCAGTTTTACGGTGAGCTTGTGAAATGTTCCCTTTTTAATCGCTTTCTGGTGGTTTAAACCCCTTACCTATACAGATGGGTTGTACTGGATCTGCAAACCAAAGAAGTGGTGTCAGACCTGACTGATGGGAACGAGCAGTTGTCTGTAATGAGATACTCACCAGGTCAGAGGTCAACAAAATCACTGTACAAAAAAAAAAGCCATGGCCTCACTCTTCCTTATCGTTATGTTTGTAAAATATAGGGCATGTGTTTGAATGCGGTCTGCAGTTCTCATAAGCCTGTTAACAATCAGGAACTTTTATTTTACTGCTCACCCAAACATAGATGGCAGCTTTTTGGCGGTTGGTTCCCATGATAACTTCATCTACATTTACAACGTCACTGACGGTGGTCGACGCTACGTGCGATTCGGAAAGTGCACAGTAAGTAAAGCATGCTGGGACAGTATCCTAAATGATGTAAAACTGTTTTATGGTGGTTTGTTGTTTATAGGGGTTGTGTTAAAGTGCACTATCAGTCATGCGGATATATCTCTTCCCTAAATGTAACTTCAGGGGCACTCCAGTTTCATTACTCACCTCGACTGGTCCAAAGATGGAAAATACATCATGTCTAACTCCGGCGATTATGAAATTCTATACTGTAAGGCTTGTGTGCATGATATACAGAGACATATCCATAGAAGACAATGAGAGATATCATTTAAAATACATTTAAATGTTAATGTTTGTGTAAAAAGGGGATGTTGCAAGCGGCTGCAAGCTGTTGAGGAACCGGTTTGAAAGTAAAGATCGAGAGTGGGCGTCCTATACCTGTGTGCTTGGATTCCATGTCATGGGTGAGAGAAAGTCTTTTATTTTTTATTATTGTTTGTTATCAGTGTTATCAGTATATTTTACTTGTTATTTATGCTGGCTGTGTTTTTTTTGTTTTTTTTACTCTAAAATTTGGAGTAAAACAGACCACATGGGATTGTATATATATATATATATATTAGGGCTGTCATACGATTAATCACGATTAATCGCATCCAAAATAAAAGTTTGTGTTTACATAATATATGTGTGTGTACTGTGTATACAGGTCCTTCTCAAAAAATTAGCATATTGTGATAAAGTTCATTATTTTCCATAATGTAATGATAAAAATTAAACTTTCATATATTTTAGATTCATTGCACACCAACTGAAATATTTCAGGTCTTTTATTGTTTTAATACTGATGATTTTGGCATACAGCTCATGAAAACCCAAAATTCCTGTCTCAAAAAATTAGCATATCATGAAAAGGGTCTCTAAACGAGCTATTAACCTAATCATCTGAATCAACTAATTAACTCTAAACACCTGCAAAAGATTCCTGAGGCTTTTAAAAACTCCCAGCCTGTTTCATTACTCAAAACCGCAATCATGGGTAAGACTGCCGACCTGACTGCTGTCCAGAAGGCCATCATTGACACCCTCAAGCAAGAGGGTAAGACAGAAAGAAATTTCTGAACAAATAGGCTGTTCCCAGAGTGCTGTATCCAGGCACCTCAGTGGGAAGTCTGTGGGAAAGAAAAAGTGTGGCAAAAAAACGCTGCACAACGAGAAGAGGTGACCGGACCCTGAGGAAGATTGTGGAGAAGGACCGATTCCAGACCTTGGGGGACCTGCGGAAGCAGTGGACTGAGTCTGGAGTAGAAACATCCAGAGCCACCGTGCACAGGCGTGTGCAGGAAATGGGCTACAGGTGCCGCATTCCCCAGGTCAAGCCACTTTTGAACCAGAAACAGCGGCAGAAGCGCCTGACCTGGGCTACAGAGAAGCAGCACTGGACTGTTGCTCAGTTTTGCATGTCATTCGGAAATCAAGGTGCCAGAGTCTGGAGGAAGACTGGGGAGAAGGAAATGCCAAAATGCCTGAAGTCCAGTGTCAAGTACCCACAGTCAGTGATGGTCTGGGGTGCCATGTCAGCTGCTGGTGTTGGTGCACTGTGTTTTATCAAGGGCAGGGTCAATGCAGCTAGCTATCAGGAGATTTTGGAGCACTTCATGCTTCCATCTGCTGAAAAGCTTTATGGAGATGAAGATTTCATTTTTCAGCACGACCTGGCACCTGTTCACAGTGCCAAAACCACTGGTAAATGGTTTACTGACCATGGTATTACTGTGCTCAATTGGCCTGCCAACTCTCCTGACCTGAACCCCATAGAGAATCTGTGGGATATTGTGAAGAGAAAGTTGAGAGACGCAAGACCCAACACTCTGGATGAGCTTAAGGCCGCTATCGAAGCATCCTGGGCCTCCATAACACCTCAGCAGTGCCACAGGCTGATTGCCTCCATGCCACGCCGCATTGAAGCAGTCATTTCTGCAAAAGGATTCCCGACCAAGTATTGACTATTGAGTGCATAACTGAACATAATTATTTGAAGGTTGACTTTTGTAAAATTTTATTAAAAACACTTATTTTATTGGTCGGATGAAATATGCTAATTTTTTGAGACAGGAATTTTGGGTTTTCATGAGCTGTATGCCAAAATCATCAGTATTAAAACAATAAAAGACCTGAAATATTTCAGTTGGTGTGCAATGAATCTAAAATATATGAAAGTTTAATTTTTATGATTACATTATGGAAAATAATGAACTTTATCACAATATGCTAATTTTTTGAGAAGGACCTGTATATATATATGTTTATATATAAATATATACAGTACTGTGCAAAAGTCGTAGCCACGATAGTCTTTTCACCAACTGGGAAAGTAGGAAATATCAGATTACATCCTAAACATTCTTTTTGTTAACTTATTAATAGTAATAATCCAGTGAGATTTTTGCATGCACAAGGAGTCTGACAACAGCCGGTATGATCTGATCTCATCATCATCGAGTCCATCTGGGATTACATGTAGAAACAGAAAAAAACTGAGACTAAATCCAGAAGAACTGCAGCAATGTTTCCTAGACGCTTGAAGAAAGCTTCCTGCAAAGCTACAGTGCTGTGAAACGTTTCAGACACTTGTGTAAAAATGCTATAAAGTGAGGATGCTTTCAAAAATAATGTCATAAATATATTTTATTTATCGATTAACTTCTATTAACTAAATCAAATCAATATTTGGTGTGGCCACCCTTTGCGCTTAAAACAGCTTTTGTCCAGGTACACTTTCAGGAAAATTTCTTCAAGCGTCTTGGAGGCGTTGCCGCAGTTGATCTATTGATTCATAGTTTAATTTTCGTTAATTTTGAACAAAAAAAAGTTACGTAGTGTACCTTAAAATCTAACTCATTATGAGTAGTAGTATGTATGCACCAGCTGCATGTGCATGCAGTGTATTCCACAGTGTAATGAAATGTAATTATGTCATGCTGTCTAGGTGTGTGGCTCGAGGGATCAGATGGGACAGACATCAATGCCTTGTGTCGCTCGCACAATAAGAGTATGGTGGCAGTGGCCGATGACTTCTGTAAGGTGCATTTGTTCCAGTATCCATGTCCCAAACTAAAGGTCAGTCACTGCCAATCCCATTGAACACAAACCTTATTAGACTCTGTATGCTTAACATTGTATTAAAAGGCCAGATATTGTATGTTCTGCCAAGTTAGAAAATGTACTGTATCAGATTAAAAAAAAGTGTTTGCTTATACAGCAAGACATCAACAATTTATTCCCCGATTTCTCTGTCAGGCTCCAAGTTATAAGTATGAGGGCCATGGCAGTCATGTGACCAACGTTCGTTTCACGCATAATGACAGTCACCTCCTGTCATTGGGCGGGAAAGACACCTGCATTCTTCAGTGGCGAGTTAAAGGGGCGGGGACTGGAGACAGTAAAGATCATCTAGCTTCTTCCTCTACTGTCCGCTCTTCCTCTAATTCTCCAGAAAACGGCACATAGAGAGACAGATACCAGGAATCAAGAGAGTGAGAAAAAGGCATGAAGATATTCTAGGAAATGAAACAAGGAGGAAATATCTTCTCGCACCATCATGAAGCATTTGGAAGGTTATGCCAGCTTTTGTAAAACATGTCACAATGTTGTTTGACCATTGACAAGTCAGATGTAATGCATGGCTATTCACTACCTACACTTCTTCATGAACTGACTTTACCCTGTTGAGGCTAAACTAATGGCCCAAAAAAACATATTGTGTCTGATATTTGTTTTTGGGGTTCTTTTTTTTAAAAAGAAATGTCATATTGCACTTCAAAACCAAAAAGAATATAAAATGATTATATAAAAAAAGCTAAAGAATTGTGGTGGTAAAAAGAATGATGAAAAGTATGTTTTATGTTCTTAATGCAAAAAATGTATTACAGATTTTTCTCTTTTAATTATGAGGCCTTGAGAGTTTATATGAAATTCACACATTTGGCAAAATAAATAAATCTCACAATAGTGACATTTTTGTCATTTCAGTGCATGATGAGAGAATGATGTATTAAATGAAATAAAATAATCTCTAGTTTCCACATTTATCATGCTTTATCATGTTCAGTGTACTTCCAAGTTTACATGTGCTTGTTTACTTCATAATGCCTTTCATGTGTTTATTTTAATAACCTGTTTTTTTTTTTTTGTTGTTGCTGTTGTTTTTTCATTAAATACTACATGCATAATTGTGTCATTACATTATTAGCCATAAGTCATGTGTCTCTGTGAAGCATTGTGTCAAGAGCAGCAGGATAATCATTGCTTTATTAGCTGTCAGGAAAATGTCCTCTGTCCAAAAACTTCCAAAAGACTGGTCTTGTATGGATCAAGTCAGCTTTTCTCAGCTTGTTAACAATGTGAAATTTTTGTTATTTTTAATCAATCAATAAATTTTAAGATAAGAATGCTTTTTGTCTGTGTGTACTTCCAGTTTCGCAATTAATGTGATTCCAGAAGTGAAATGGTTTTAATATCACGCAACGCCACCTAGCAAGAGTTTCTTTTATATATATATAAATGTGAGACTGTGATGCCGCCTGTAAATCAATAGAGGGAAGTATTGCACCAGTTTCCACTCCTAACCTGGTTCTTCCTTATGTTCTCAGATGAACACTGCTGATCGTTTGAGCGACTTGATATATCATACAAACAAATATCTGCATAAAATCTAGAAAAATACATTTTCGGTGTAAATTTAATGTATTGAACCTTTTATAGATGTCAGTGTGTTTCTTCCTTCAGCTGGTAGGAAACGTTTGAACGAATAAATAAACTCTTTATTGATATCCTCAGATCCATTAATATACTTTAAACTATACGCAAAACAAATGTGTTCTTGTTTATTGCTAGAAAGTAAAGAGTGATTACAGGGGACTTTGTATGGAGAATATATATATATATATATACACACAGTATATATATATATATATATGTGTGTGTGTGTAATTTATTGTAATTCACCTTTACACTGTTTATATGTTATCCATTTAAGCCCTATATATATATATTATAGATCTGAAAAGTGTGTTTCGCAGTAGTTAAAATAATATAAGGTTATTATTTTTACAACCTTATATTATTTTAACTACTTCTGTAACAGTATGTGTCGTTCATATATACCGGTGTTAATTCGTGCACATAAAATTCGTAATAATAATAAAATAATAATAAATCAATGACAATCAATAAAGTGATACAAGTCTCGCCACATTAGCTTGGTGCCCCAAATGTTCCCCAATATGCTTCTTAGAAAAATAACATTTTACATAATAATCTTCATTTAAAAAAAGCGGGAGCTCAAGTTTCTGTCTTACAGGAGTTCGCCGAATTCTAAATGACGTTAGCTTCCGAAGATGACGTTGGAGAAGGGGTGCGCGCGCGCTCGTGTATGTGTGTGTGAAACAGAGCGGAGGTGAAGAAGAGGAGGATGAAGCAGGGAGCGGAGGATGGGAGGAAGAGTGGAGTGAGAGAGAGAGAAAGAGAGAGATAGGCTGGCTATCAAGGGCTCGTGTGAAGTGTGAATGTCTGAGAGGGGCTTCGATGGGAGTTTTATCGCAGCGCCGAAACAAAGACGCGATTTTTTTACCATCCGGAGAAACATTGTAGCGGAAACTTTAAACTTTTACCCGCCAGAGCGGCAGCGCCGTGCCGGGTCCCGGCTTTGTCTCGCGACGGGGGGAAGTACGCCAGCACACGCGAGGATCAAAAGAACCAGCACCAGTTTTGGATACACATTTTGTCTACACGACGAGGGAATCCGTGATTCTTGTGTTTGTTTAGGAGAGTGAGAGAATGGCGGCCAACATGTACCGAGTTGGAGGTGAGTATTATTGTTGAAGCTAACACTAGCAGCAGGCTCGCGGGGGTTAGCATTAGCATTAGCGCGAGCGGCTGTTTCCGCCTTAGTTACAATGAGCGGAATCCCGTTGCTAAGCGAGCTAGGCTAGTTTCATTACGGCGGCTTTTGGGTTAACTCAATTTTCTTTATTTATATATGTATTAAAGGTCACTTTTAAAATGACTTGGATATGAAAACTTGCATTGGGTCGCAAACTCTTTCGTAGTTATGATTCAAGTAATTAGCCACCGCAAGCAAATGAGCTAATTATGAGGAAACCCGTCCGTTAGTTTATTCACTCATGATGGTTTTTACTCACTTTTTCAAGACTTTCATTCAAGTTTTTGTCGTACACGTTCCCTGAACCGTGCCATTCTGTCAAACTTCTGACAGCTGAATTATATGGAGTGCTTATGGGAGACTCACAGTAGAACGGGATGCAAGGACTTTCGGTTTTGTTTCCTGTTTGAAAAGAAACAAAGTCAAATAATTGTTCATTTATACTGATATCAGATGGAAATTTAGACATTTTCAACTTGAACCTAGATTTGGTGTTCGTGAAAAAGAGTTCAGAGAAGAGAAACGAATAGTTCAGTTTATACGTGCATTTATGGATCGAGAATTATTTCTATGATCATACACGTGCAGAAGATGCTTATTTGAAATAAGCTGATATAGTTGCATTAGTAAATCCATCCAGCTACAGTTTTTAGTATGCAATATATACCCATTGTCATATCTACTGTATGCTGTCATCTATTGTCAGAGATGCTCATCCTCACTGTTTATTGAAATCCATTTTAACGTTACCTTCTAATAATATTGCATGCGCGTTGACGTCATTGACTGCAGAGTGCCATGGTGTGCATTATTAGTGCTTTTATTTTCTTAAATCCGGGAATCGACTGTAAATAGGTCACGACAATCAGGCTGTGTTGCTTCAGCAGATGCTGCTGATCGATGCTTTATTGCAGTTGCAGTTTGATCAGGCAGGGTTTGATGGGAAGTTCTGGAAGAAAAACTCAGTTATTACACGCTTGTCAAAATGTATTAGAGTGTATCAAGACTGGGTTCAGAGGAAGGCAAAGTCTGCATCTGCTCACAACATATGTCATTTAAAATGTTTTATACAATTAAAGGGACAGTTCACCCAAAAATGCAAATTCTGTCATTAATTACTCACCATTCATTCATCTCAGAACAAAAATGAAGATCTTTTTAATGAAATCTGAGAGCTTTCCGTTCCTCCATTGACAGCTACGCAACTACCACTATGACGCTTCAAACAGTTCATAAAGAGATGTAAAACGAACCCATATAAATTGAGCGGTTTGGTCCACTTTTTAGTCTCTTCGTGAACTTTTTGAAACGTCAAGGTGGTGTTTGAGTAGACTGTCTAGGGGCAGAAAGCTCTTAGATTTCATCGAAAATATCTTAATTTGTGTTTTTCGAAGATGAACGAAAGTCTTACGGGTTTGGAACGACATCAGGGTGAGTAATGAATGACAGAATTAATTTTTGGGTGAACTAACCCTTTAAGAGGCTGGTTATCATCCAATGTTGGATTGTAATGTAATGATGGTTTTTGCATGGTTTGCCGGATACTTCAATGCATTTTACTGTTTGTTTGCTAGTGTTGTGGAAGGTTTAAGGTCATTAAACTTGACCTTATATTCTGGCCCCAAGCCCTTGCATCCCTACGTTTCACCTCTGTGAATCTGAAGCTTTGTGACTCAAATGCTGTCCCAGTGCTCTTTATTTTACCCATCTGATCAGAGTGTGTTTTTGTCTTTAGGCTTTATAGAATACATTAGTGATAGAACAACATATCAGCCAGTATCTGCTGAGTAGTGCTACACTCTGCTGAATTATCAGTTTGATATTTGCCCATTTTGAGAAAGTCGGCATCTGACAATAACTCTGTCTGATTGGCCGATATCCAAAAGTGTTTAAAGTCTGCATGAAAAGAAATTTATATTTTTTAATTTCACATTATTGATCTTATTAAGAACGATTCATCTGTGCATGTTTGTTTGTTTTTTTATGAAAATTTTATGTATAATATATATATTATATAATATGTAATGAAAACCTTCAGTGAAACAACCGACTTCTGGTGACGTATGACAGACTTCTACAATCATTTAGTCTGTTTAAACCCCGCCCCTTTATTACAATCAACTGCAAGCTCGCATTCAAATCTGCCTCCATCCAACCATCATTTATTTTTCGTTAATCCTTTTTTCTTGGATGTACTGCACAATACAGAAGAAAATATCTGTCGGTACTTCTGTCACATTGCAACTTTTATATATGCAATAATTTGAATGCAATAATTTGAATGCGTTGAGGCGTTATATACCTGTCGACCCTCTCGAACACTGGTGTCTAGATATCATTGATTCGTTGTATTCCTCATTTGTAAGTCGCTTTGAATAAAAGCATCTGAAATGAATAAATGTAATCTATATGTGTATTGACATTGGGCTTTGAGAGATCCATATTGTTTGACCACTAGAATCCATGTTTATATCATCTTTGTCCGGGACACTTGTGCCTCTGAACTCTTGGTTTGAATGTCGCTCTCCTATAATGCAAACATGCCACACTGTTCAGTTACTAGCAAATGTTACTGTAACAGTAAGCACGCTAAAGGATAAGGCTTCCTCTCCTCCTTTGTTCAAACATTAAGTTCAAACAAGGCAAGATGCAACTGCACTGTTTGTCAGCAAGAGACAATTGAAGTGTTTCAAACCAGGACTTTAATTGAGACGGTTTTGGTTCAGTGAAGCTTTCATTGTTTATCATGGGGTGTTAATTGAGACTTCTAATAAAGATGCAAAGAGGATACTTGTGTAGTGATGCAGGCAGAAAATTCTGGTCATGTGCGTGTTGGCAAATGCATATATCAGGTGACATTGTGTGGTCTGGTAAATAAGGATCCTGCTCTATATGAGCTAGACAGATATTTTTATCATATCAAACAACACAGTGACTTTATTTAGTTAGCTTTTTCCCTAGTGGTCAAGCAGAATGGAGTTTTTGAATGGCCAATTTTGATACTAGAGCAGAGCGGATGCTTTTATCCAAAGCGACTGACATTGCATTCAAGTTGTACATTTTATCATTCATGCATTCCCCTGGAAATTGAACCCAAAGACCTTGACGTTGCTGGCACTATTATGCTCTACTGTTTGAGCTAAAGGAATGTAATGACAATAAATGTAATGCAAATATTGATGACAAAAGAGAAATGCTGAATTGAAATGAACACTTATTTTACCCTAGAGAAATTCACTAAAATGGTTGGAAACAGGAATGTTCATCTTGACCAGCCCAAGTCATCAAGTAAGGGATAATGTACGTCTATCCGGTTGTTATCGCAGAATAAACCCCGACAGGGTGATCGGGACTTGCCTGAAGGGGTTTATTCTGCGTTAACAACCTGCTTGATGTACATCACCCCGCTTATTACACGGCTACTTGCCACATAAGTAAACAATTAGACATGAAATATTGATCTGAGTCTAAATATTTTATTAGCTTACCGAACGCAAAACTTCCACA